CGGTAATAAGTACAAGTAAGTAATTAAGTAGTGTTTGCATTTGAAGTCAAATGATCTATGCACTTGTCTCAACAGGTCAGATCCATGATAGACTCGCGTAATGCGTGGTGCATACATAGTGAGAAACGCGAACTGTTCTTTTACGTTTCCGGCGCAGATGACATGTTTTAGACGGCTAAAGCCTGCGTCCTCCTGTGTGCAACCTGTCAGTCGCAAGCGGAGGCCGCCTTCGTGATATATTCACTTTTCGTAAATGCTAACGACGGCAGCAGATTGTACTGGAGCATAATTGAGCCAGTACAGCTATTCCGCTACCAAAGAAATTAGATAAAATTGAGATACAACAATGGCGTTAACGTGCAGCAGGACGCTCCAATGTAAAGATAATCTTACTGCACCGTTACATTAAACAAATTCGGCATTTTGAGCAATAAAATATTTAAACCGCACTTTGTAGCTCACGAAGAAAAAAAAAAGGAAAGCCAATAAAATGTTTGCGCCTTAAGAACTATTTGAGGGGGTTCAAACTGAAAGATAAAATATAATCACTAATCTGCGTAAAATCAGTCTATATATACGCCCGTAGGATAAACTCTATGATTTGTTGCCCTATTAATGTGTCAATGATCCAGATGGCGTCCTGACAAACGGCACAGAAAAATGAACTATTCACGGCTGAAGAAGTTACTTAGAACTCGAGACCAGCATTGCTAATATACCTAGCACAGAGCAGTACTAAAGTGCATTTTTGGATTCGGAAATAATTATAGGCAACATATTAAGTTTTGATTGCATAAATTTCTGCAGGTAGCATGTACAGCTACAAGCATTCTAAATGAGAATTAATACTCACCGCGTTTTATAGTCAGCTGGGATTCAAGTGTAGCAGTGAAATCGTATAAGACGACCATTATAGATGCATCGGTCTGGAAAATTTGATTTGCCACCTCTGATCCAACGCTTCCGGACGAAATTTGTTTATTGGCTAGAGAAATGGTATGATAGGAAAACATAAACAACTTACTGAGGGGCAAAGAAGGGACGGTATTATCTTGCTCGTTCAAATTTCCATCACTCGGTTCATAAGGAGGTGGAGGATGGACAGTCCGTACAGATCCATCTTTTAACATGGCCTGTTTGCCGATATTGCCCCCCATTGGCCGGCCGCAGCAGCATTCACATAGGCCTTCAAAGAAGGCGGTAATCAAACAGAAAATTTAAAGTAATTGGTTCATAAGCTAAAGCACCGCGGATAGCTTACGTCTGATAGTGCTTCAATATATTTCGTAACACTTCG